ACACCATCCCAGCTGCTCACTCTCCAGTCCATGGCCACTGCCATCATCAGTGCTCCTCCACGGTCATTCACAGAAGGACTGGCTACAGCGTGACACAGCCGCTCGGCTGGCAAGGCACAGCCACGGCCAACACAGCAAAGCCCGCTCTGCAGAACAGACACTGCAGCCCTGGGCTTCCCTGCCTCCTCTGCTCCGGGCCTCCTCAGCTGCTGGGGGCCTCCCAAGGCCGTGTCCGTCTGGGGGATTAGGGAGACCAGGACACTGCAGCAGGAGAGCCACTCACAGTCCCACTGACGTCAAACGCACATGGGCCTGGACCCCATCTTGACTCCTGGTTACTGGGTGGCTGGGCCCTCCTCAACCTCTCGGGTCTTCACTCTCCACTCACAAAACTGGGACAGCAAGGGCAGCCCGAAGTGAGCCACACCGCGAAGCTCTGAGCCTGCGCGGGCGCTGGGTCGATGGCACCAGCGGCTCCTCCTTGGCTCTCTGTCCCCCCTCCCTTGGGGGAGGGAGCAAGGAGCGCTTCTGCTGAGTAAGGTGGCACCAACAACAATCCTGAAAAAGGAAGACGAATCCTGCCATCGTCAAGCGTTTACAGCAACCCACATAGAAGTGAACGAGGCCCAGACAGCTCGACGCCATCACCCGGCTCTGGAGGAAGCCCTCACTCCACGCTGGACCGGGAGCCCAGGGGCTCTGCAAGTGCAGATGTGGGCAGCCACATCCCGCAAGATGTGTGCCCCCCCCACTGAAGGTCGGGGGGCTGGGGTCTGCAGGGCCCACACCTCCCCACACACCGCTGAGTGCCAAGGAAACCGTGTCATCCTTCATAAATATTTAACAAGTGCACGTCGGAACGCCCCAGGGGATTACTGGAGAGTGTGGAAAACAAACTGGCACCCGAGAAGCTGAAGGTCAGCAAGGACAGGAGAAGATGCAAACTGCCCATGGGATCATTTGAGACAGGATGCAGAGGGACATCCCCACTGGGGCCCTGATCGTCAACTCCAGGACCATCAGACCTGGCCTCTCCTGACTCCCCGACACCGGCCCCACACCAACCCTTGGGCGTGGGAGCTGTTTGCTCAGGTGCAAGGCTGACCTTGGACTCTCTTAAAGCCCAGAAGGTGGCTTCATGACCCAAACCCTTAACCCACAGGCACAGGGATCCAGTACAGAGTCCCCACTCTGCATCCCAGCATCCCCAACAGAGCCTCCCCCGGGCCTGCCCAATTAGGGCCCCTCTGCCCTCCCAGATGGAGGGAGGGCCCTGAGAAGTGCCCCACCCTCCAGTGCGTGCCACACCGCTCTGCATCAGCAAGAAGGAAAGAACCTTAGAAAAATGTTGAGGCTGAAGAAACACCTCGGGCTGTGTTGCTTCTCACTGTAAACATCCCTCCATTAATTAAATGACTGCCTTCTTCCCTGACGCCAGCCACTTGGAGCCTCGACTTTGGGCGGCCTTGGGGTGATTCATCCTGCCGTCCCTGTGTGGCCGAGTCTTTCCAAGCTCTTCCCCACTAGCTGTTACCTAGCAACCAGCCTAGCAACCTTGTAGCCAAGAGATTAATCCCTGAATGATAATCATAAAGTAACATCCAAAAAGACATTTCGTTTCAAGGATGCAATCCAAAGGTATATAAAGACAGGCACGTCTGAACCACACAAATGAGAGACAAAGGGGACGCGCTGTTTACTTGTTGCTTAAACATCTGAAAGGCAGGATCTCCTTCTGGCCATTCACACACACGGATGAAAAGAACCAAGCCAATGGCTGAGCTGAGCAGCCACACAGAAACCTCCGGGGGCACCAACAGAATGAGGACCATGTTCCAACCTGCCCCAGCTGGGACTGACCCAGTGAGACAAACACAGAGGCCAGGGTGGGTGGAGCTCTGTGCTGCGCGCGTGCACACACACACACACACACACACACCCAATTTTCAGAAACCAGCTGAAGCCTCACACAGCAGTCACCTGCCTCACTTGCATTCAGGAATAACAGAAGTAGAGCTGGGCAATAAAAGGCAGGGAGAATGTTCTAGAAGGGTAGGCGCTCCTAGCATTTCTGGTGATCCTTCCCCATCTAGTGCCACTGGAAGGATGTAAGTTCAAACCCAGTGAACACGAGCGTGGCTTGGAGAGCAGGTTAAAATGCACATACCCAGGGCTGGACTCCAGGTGACTCACAGACGGGCAGCCTCAGCACACTCAGGGAAATAGGCTTTGGAGGTGGCCCTTGTGCTTCAGCCATTGTAGGTTGCAATGAACAGGGACAATCTCCTTCCCAATTCAAAAGGGCCTCAGGAGCAGGCAAAGGCAAGAGGGGCCCTTAAGGAAGCTGGACATTAGGCTGATGAAGCCCAGCTAGGGTGTCCCAGGAAGCAGGCCAGGCAAATAAGCCCCCAGAAAGCTCCTGGCCCAGATTCTGTCCCTTACGATGAAGCCTTGGGTAGGTCACCTGCCCTGCTGTGAGAACTTGGAGGGGGCTGGCTAAACAGGGCTGGCTCAGAAAGCTGCCCAACACTGATCACTCAACACACAAGGGGCCCCGTGGGGAGACCCTGGACCTCACCAAGGCCCCCCTTCACATGAGCCAGCAGCACCGTGAGGCACCCACTTTCCTATCAAGCTGTTACTGAGCGTGTGCAGAGATGGCAGCAAGTGATGCCGGCATGGGCGCTCTGAGCAAGTCTGTCCCCAAGAAGTCCCTGCGCCTTCAGCGACTGGCTGACATTCTGTCCCAGGGGGTTGCTATGGCCTGGTTCCCTTCCCAAGGTCACCAACTCCAGTTGAGGGAACTTTTCCTTAAAAGACCACCCCTAGACCTGGCCAGGACACCAGATCACAGGGCCCACACCCAAAGAGAGACATGGGCCATCCCGGTCCTCCAGAGAAGGGGACCTGGAACCCATGAGAGAAGCAGAGACAAGAGGGCAACAGTGGGCAGCCCAGCAGAGCCCAGGCCACAGGGGTGCCCGCAGGGGTGCAGAGGGAGGGAGGGAGACCTGCGTTCAGTGGATCAAGGAAGCAACTCCAAGACCACAGGCGACAGTGCCCAGGAAGGCTGGTTTTTTGCTGGGGTGGGGGTAGGGTGGGGGGTGTTTGTTGCAGTACTGGGTACTGAACAGAGGGATGCTCTACCACTGAGCCACAACCCCAGACTTTTAAAATTTTGAGACAGAATCTCACTAAGTTGCCGAGCCTTGCCTTAAATTTGCAATCCTCCTGCCTCAGCTTCCCAAGTCCAGGAAGAGTTTCGCATCTACAAAGGAAAGGGATGTAGAGAACAACCTCAGCACAATAGTGACCTGGGGCCGAGACCCCCTAGAAACCAGCCACAGGAAAAGCCAGGTGCCCTCTTCTGCCACAGCCTAGAGCAGGCTGCCTGGGGGCAAGCACTCTGCCTTGGTCTCCCCTCAGCTTAAAACAGAAATGACAGTGGTGCCTACCTCATGAGGTAGATGATAACAGATAATGAGCAGAATGACCTTGAACTAGAGGCTTGTTCATGGGAGCACGCGGGCACGGTCAACTGCTGGCACAGCCTCGCTACAAAGGGCAGTGGGACAGGAAGAGGCGGGAGGGACCCGGGACACCGGCACTGGAAGGAGATGGAAAGGGACAGGTCTGGGATGCAGGGCGCTTCCTGCCGGGGCTGGAGTAAGGCCATCATGGAGGTCATGATGAAAGGCACTGACTTCAGAACCAGCATCATGGGGCACCCTGACCTCCCTTCAACAAGCTGGGACTTGACCCCTATCTGTAAAGGGCAAGCAGTGCAGTGTGAGCCATGAAGCAGGCCGCAAAGGCAAGACAGCCAGCCACCCTCGGTGCGAAACCAGGCACGGGGCTCATGGGAGAGCAGCGTGCTGGGCACCCACCCCACGGCACCTTCCAGCAGCCCGGGAGGCGGGAGCAGTGGCAAGGCAGGACTTCTGCCACAGGAGCCAGTCCACGGGGACAGGGACCAACCATGTGAGGTCTTCTGAGTCCTCAGGTTCTGGGCAACAGGAGCCAAGTAACCACACAGAGTCCCAGCTGTGGCTGCCGAGAGCCCTGGTGGCAGATGTGCGTCACCCACACCTTAGACAAGGGACCTAGGGACTTGCTGCAGGTGAGCTTGTGGGAAAAGCACAAGCCAAGGACAACAGAGGGGCCATGGCCTGGCACATATGGACACTCAACAGAAGGAGCAGCCGTTCAGATGCCACACTGCTCCAGGCCTTCAGGGACCTACAATGACAAGGCTGCGGGGAATGGTTGAATGGGGCAGGAGAAACCCGCTCAGACATCCAGATACCATGACCTTAACACTGAGGTCATTCCTGCCTCAAGTAGCAGTGGGAACCAATCCCAAGATGGGGACGGGGCATAGGGGCAAGTGCCCACTGACAGGGCACATGCTAATCCCCCAGGCCAAAAAGAGAAAGGGATGACCTTGGTCAGCCCATCCTGATCCTGGCCATGAACCTCTGGCTTGTCGACTGCTGAGCCAGCAACATCTCAGCACATACGACACCCTGTCACCCCAGCAGGTCCTGCAGACACAGACCCCTGTGCCTTGACTCCCCATCTGCAGAGAGGGCCATCAGAATAGAGCCCACCATTAGGAGGTAAGAGCACTGCTGGGAGGACTTGATAAACTGACCCAAGCAAACACCACCAGAGGCCAGAAGAGGGCAATGCCAGGAGCCCGTGCCAGGCAGGCCCTGAGAGGCAGGCAGGTTCAGAGAAGCCACCCGCCTCTGCTGCCCTTCATCCATTAACCAGGGACAGTCCTGAGGCTGCCTTTTGCAGTTCACATCATCAAGTTCAAACCTGAAGATGTGCAAAGAGGGCCCGGAACCTGTGTCCAGCCTGAGCAAACTGCTCACACATCCACAAGGGGTAATCAGGGCACCCACAGGACCTGGGTCAGGGCCTGGGGACCCCTGTGTCTCCCAGTCCACCCCTTCACACCTGGGTGAGTGCCTCCATCCCACCTTCTCTTGCAGGCTTCCAGCTCCCAGAACATCAGTATCCCAACTTGTTCCTCAACCAGTGCTGCCTTCGAAGCCACCAGACTGTCGGGAAGGTCCCTCCTCACCCCACCCAGCCGGAACCCCGACTCTTGGGACAGGCATCCCCATCATGTCTGGAGGTGGAGAAGGCTGGAAGATGGACATGTGGGCTCTGCAGCCAGGTGGGCCCCGGATCCTGGCTCTGCCTCCCCATCTGTGAAATGGGTGACAAGGTCAGTACCAGCCTCCTGTGGACCAGGGCTCAGATGAGCTCACACAGGCCAGGGCTTAGTACACGGTCTGGCACATGACAGGGCTGCACGCTTCCTTCCTGCAACTGTTAGGTCAATATTTTAATGTTGGGAATTGATTTTTTATAGGTTTATAACCTTTATCAAAAGAAAGCTCACGGGTGGGTTTTCCCCTGTTATAAAAATAAACAATACATGTTCATTTTGAAAGAAGAAGAAAAGATTTTAAAAGCCACAAGGATACTATCTTGGTGGGCTGCCAGCAGCTGCTGAGTTTGCGCAGCTGGGATCAGTCCAGGTAAAGGGTGTCATGCCAGGTCACTGTCCCCCTGCAGTCATCTCTGCAGCTGGGCACACTCACCTTAAACCTCTCGGAGACCCCTTCACTGATGCTGACAGTGAACTCCGCGATCTTGGGAGGACGAGCTCTTCCTTTTTTGCGGTCAGGTTCATATTCAGTCTTGGTTTTCACCACCACCTTATCCGGGAAGCAGAGAAGCAAGTGGTCAGTGGTGGCCTGATGCACTCAGACACGGCTGCCCTGAGAAGGTATGTCTGGGAACTGTCATGTTCAAAGTCACCCTTTCTCCACAAAATAGAATGAGAACAGCCACCACCTACTGGAACTCTCCTCTGTGCCAGCATGTCAGAGGAACTCCCATTCACAACCGAGGGGCAGAGGAGTTAAGCTCATTGGTCAAGGTCAGGTGGCTGACAGGTGACTGGATAGGGCAGCAAGACACCCGACTCCTACTCCAGGGCTCCTTCCTCCACCCCCGGAGAGCAGGAGGCATCTGCTTTTCCAAGGGCCTTTATGTACCCCACGCCCCAGGCAGCGCACAGGAGGACTGGATCACAGATTCGACTGAGGGGCAGGCAGCAAGCCCAGGGGACACAGGCCTCAGGCTGGCTCCTGGTCTCCACTCATCAACCCCTGCCCGCTGCCCTGCATGGCCCCTCCCCCTGCATCCCCCAGCTTCATGTCAGGGTGACCCAGGCTCCCCGTGCCTCCTCCCTGGGACCTCCCAGCCCTGGCCTCCCTGGCTTTGTCTTCCTCACACCTCCACACTGGACCCCTGGAGAGAGGTTCAAGATGGGACCGGGGTTACAGGTCTCTAGTCCACAAACCCCACTCCCCAGAGCAGGTTCCTGGCAGTGGCTGTGGACTGCAAAGAACCAGCTGCCCCATGCTCCCACCGAGGGAACATGCCCCTTCATTGGGTGGTCCATACTTTGGGGGAGACACCCTGCTCTGCATGGCAGTCGAGCAGAACAAGGGGAATCCAGCAATTCAGGATGGCCAATCCCAGGTGAGCAGCTGGAGGGACTCAGCCTGAGCTGTGGACCCCGGAAAGCCAGCCAAGGAGAGAAGGGACAGGGAGAAAGTGGCCAGTGCCGGCGTGATCCCAGATCTGGGGGCCACCCAGCCCCACTGCTGCCCCACTCACTCCTTTGCACGCAGCTCACCCAGGAGCACCAGAGAGGGCACACCAGCCTGTGTTGGCCAAAGTGCCCACCCCTTAAAGCTCTGCTGCCCATCTCCTGAATCAGCATGTGAGTGTCACCCTGCCATCCTCACATCGCAGTCACACCTGACTAGCCCTGTGACCCTGAACATGCACTTGCTACTTGAAGCTGCTTCATCGGCCCATAAGCCAAGAACAAGGCTATCTCTCTGGGAGGCTATGCAGACCAGGAAGTCCGTGGAACTCCAGTCCAGCGCGGATACCTGTCAATGTTTGCTAACCTGGATCTGCATCCGCACCAATCTACACCCGTCGTAACAGGCTAGGTGACCTTGGGCAGGTCCCCTACACCCGGTGCCTTCATTTCCTTATCTGTAAACTGCAGCACTGATGGTAGTTACCTCATAGTGTGGTCAAGACATGAAAGGAATTTCACCCTATAACATATGCACAACAGGCATCCAGCAAAGTCAGGTGAGGCTGTCCCTGACACGCCAGCAGCCAGCCCTGGGACTACCACTGCTGTTGTAACTGCTGTGCCTCTACTTAGTGCACCTCCTCAGGATAGATTCTGTGTGTAATCTGGCCCTCAGATGCCATGTCACCAGGAGTAGATGACATCACCTCCCTGAACCTAACTGTGAGCAACACCTTGCAGTTGTTTTGAGTTGAGAAAGGTCAAGAGCAGGACATCGCACTATAAGTGGAGTGGAACAAGAGGCGCTGCCAGAAACCTGTGTACCAGGGGACTGTGGCCTTCCCCCGAGTGACCCTGGGTGTATCCCATAAACTCTCCCAGCCTCAGTCTCCTCTGGGACTTTGGAAGCCTCCTTACCCACTCTTGGTCCCTGCTGGAACTCCCTTCTCTGGAGCTCCTCTGCCAGGTGCCCCTCTGTTTGAACACTCGCAGGCACAACAGAGCACCTTTCAGCGCTGCGTAGGCCACGCCTGGGCAACCATTTGGGTTGCTCAGAATTTCATACCTGCCTGAAACCCTGCTCCCTGTAATAAGCCAACTGTGCCAGACAGTTCTAGAGTGGAGCAAACTGAGGGCGCAAGAGGAGGTCAGGCCAAGTGGGGGGAGTCACCCCACAGAGGTACTGCTTGGACACAGTTCCTGACACAGGCCACCGTGGGGCTTGAGGCCAGGCTCTGCTAAGTAGATCCCTGGATAGGGAGGGGTAGTCGAAGCCGAGGCCTCAGGCAGCCCTACCCTTCCTGCAAAGCCCAACCTGGACCATGAGTCCCCCAGAGTGGCCCCACTGTGGTCGGGGGTAAACAGCTGATCCCTATCGGGAACTGAAGCACCTGCTGCCCACACCGCCTAATGGAGAATAGTCAGGGAGGCAAAGCCACTCTGGGAAGCTGAGCAAGCTTCTCAGGGTCTGCTGTGGGAATAAAGGAAGCCTCTACCAGGAGGGCCACTGCAGGGCCCTCCCCAGCCACCCCACCCCTGCCGGTGGCCAGAAATCACCATCCTGCCAGAATGAACGGGAAGCCCTGAGTCAGAGCCTCCTCACCAGGGAGATAATAAACGTAAAAGCACTTCAGGGAATAGGAGAAAGCTCCTGGTGGTGGTGGGTGGGGTGTGAGCAGCACCACAGTTGAAAAAGACACTGTGTTTATGATTTTAGGCTTGAGTTTTGCAATGCAATTGTCTAGACTTAAAAACTCTATTAACCTTTAAGTGTTAACTCATCAAAATATTATCCTTACTGGATAAAGAGCTACTAGAGACTGGATGCTGCACTCAAGAAAGGAGGGCATTCTTTAAATTCAGCAACAACGCCCTAGGGAAAGGTGCATGAATGACGGTTCCCAGCTACACCAACAAGGAGTGAGCCTGGGCACCAATTTGGAGATTTCACAAAAGGAACAAAGAGGGAGAAGGCTCAGTGTGAGCGCACACGCCCTCCCGCAGCCCCGCAGCCTGGTAGAGATGGGCAAAACCAACAAGCAGAGGAAGCAGGCCTCTAGGGAGGGCACATCTGGCAATTCCCCACCTCAGAGGGCCAAGCCGGGTGAAACCGCTTCATGCAGGAAGGCACAGGCAGCAGCCACCGCCCCTGATCTCACCCCAGACCCAGAGCTGGGTAGTACTGTGGGACCAGGGGCATTTCCCCCTGGAGAAGACGCCCACAAAACTCATCAAGAAGGGACCTTTCCCTGGCCGAGTTCCACGTCAGGACAGAGGTGTCCTCTAAGACAGGACTCAACATTACCGGATCCAGAATTGCATGCGGGTGCAGCGTCCTGGCCCGGCCTTGCCTGCCTGCGCAAGCCCGCCCCTACTTCGAGTCCCCAGCGCACGTGGCGTTTCTTTTGTTGCAGCGGATGGGGGCGAATTAGGGGTGCTCACCCGGCAGTGCGGGGGATACCGGCGGCGGGGCGGGAGGGGGGGCTTACCTTATCCGGGGGCGGGAACTGCAGCTGATTGACATCGAGGGGCGTCATCAGGGGAATGGTGTCGAAGCCATCCTCCAGCAGCGGCTGCTTGGTGCCCTTCTCCGCGAAATTGTTCCCCAACTTAACCATCGTTCCGAAGACCTAAAGCTGCCGCCTGCAGAGGGAAGGCCGCGCTGGAGTCACGGAGGGCAGGAGCCGAAGCGAGCGGAGGGAGGCGGGCCCCGCACGCCCACCTGCCGTCCCGTCCCGGGCACGGCAGCCTCCGCCTCGCCCCCAGGGAGGGATCGCGAGGACGCCGCGGTCACCGCCTGATTTGAGGCGGCAGGCGAGGGTACTAATAGTCTCACCTCACCAGCCCCGACCCCTACGCCCGGCGCACCCCGGCCGGGGGCGCCGCCCCTGCCCAGCCCCTCTGGAAGCGTCGTCCCTCGTCTGGGCCACGGAGCCCGGTCGACCCGCCCGCCCACCAGGTCGCTCCTCCGGCAGGTGAACGGCCACCCCGGTCCCCGGCGGGCAGGGTCCCGCCTCGGCGTGGCGGGGCCCGCACTCACCCACGCCCGGCTCCGCAGGTCTGGCCTCCGAGCGGCTCCGAGCTCCGCGTCGCCCGCTCCCGCGCGCAGCAATGGCGGAGGCGGCGCGGCCGGCGGGCGGGGGAGCGAGCGATTGGGTCGGCGGCTCCCTCCTCCGCGCCGCCTTCCGCCGCCCCCGGGGGCTGGCGCGTGAGTGTGCGTGTGGCCGCGGCCGCGCCTCCGCCCTGACGCAGCGCCCGCCGCACAAAGGAACGCGGGGCTAGGCGCGGAGCCTCCCCCGGGACCCCGCCGCCCCCAGCCGGGGAGGCCGGCTGCAAGCGCCCGAAGGGGAGGCTCTGCCTGGGCGCGCAGCGCTGGGGGAGCGGCTGCGGGCTGCGCAACCCCGGGCGGCGGCCGGAGCCAGGCGATCGGGAAGGAGAAAAGGGAGGGGAATAGGGATGGAGCGAGCCCCCAAAAGAGGGGAGATGGACCGAGGGTGCCGGCTGCAGCCGCGCCGGACTGCGGGGCCTCTAGGATCAGGAAGGGTGGCGCGGAGGGATGGGATGGGGGCGTCCAGGAGGCGGAGGGCGGTGGCAGAGACCCTGCGTTCCTTAATGATTCTAGTTGGGGAGGGGTGGAAAATGAGAGCGCTCCCCTGTATAAAGGGGGCACGATGGGAAAGGAGGAGCATATTCCCCGCGGTGCGGGATGCGAAGTGTGGCTCACCCAGGGCTGGGCTCGTGTGCCTGGGATGGGGACTGCCCTCCGGAGCAGGAAAGCAGTTATTCGGAACAGTGAGCTTAGTGCGACCGTTGGAGCCCTGCAGAAAGGTTTCTTTGGTCTTGTCGAAAGACAAGGCATAGGTCCCCCCACTGCTGCCGCCGCTGCCGGCCCGAGCATCCGAGGCTCAGAGGAGAGATCCGGACCGAGATGGAGGTGGTTGTCACTTGACCCGCACCCCTCACTCCCTGAGCGGGGCGCTGTCGCGGCTGCCCAGACTCACCCGGCCGATGAAAAACTGCAGGGATGTAGGAAAGAGGCCAGAATGGGAGTGGGGCCCGAGCTGGTGACTGCAGCTGCGGAGGATTCGTTCTTATCCGCACCTGTGACCGCGGGCTGGACACTGTTAGGACGCAGGGGAGGCATCCCCCAAGTCGTTACTGAGGATCCGAGGCCCTGAGAAACACCAGCCAATCGAGAGAATAAACCTAGATCAAAGAAAGAGTCTCTCTGGGCCTTGAGCCCCAGGCCCAGTCTAGGAACCGGCCATGGGCACATATTTCAAAATCCCCAGGAGGACGTGCCCTATCCTATGCAGGGGAGCTGTGGCTCCTTCTAGCTACTCTGGCTTCCAGCAGGGGGGAAGCTGACTTTGAGCACAGCGTTGGAGGACCCAGGCTCTTAGCAGACTCCCCCAGACCAGCCCAGGGAGGTCAGGGATCTTCCGGTTGCCTCTGCCACAGACCCCAGGAAGCACAAAGCTTCCTGTTGGATGCCTTCCTGAGCAGGTGAGGAAGAGTCTTTTGAAATATGTCCTGGCACTTCCTAGGTGTGTCCCGGTACACCCCAGCATCTCTGGGACCAGAGACAACCTGTGGCTTGTGCAAGGGAAGACCTTGTCCCCATCTCGGACCTAAATGCTTTACAGAACACACACACACACACACACTGTGGTCAGAATCCCACACAGAAAGCAACAAAGTGGGGTTCTTCCCTCTCCCTCCAAGACTGTTGAGAAGGACCCATGTTGTTTCTGATTGTCACTCGCTCTCCGGTGCTGTGAGTTTTGCGGTGCCAGTTGCTATGTCTCTTTCTGTGTGCCTTCCTTCTGCTGAAGGACACGGGCAACACAAGGTGCACAGGATGCACTGCCACCCACAAGAGGCTCACGGACAAGGGGCAGCAAATTGCAAGCCTTTGGGAGGGAAGGTGCCAGGAGGTGGGTAAATTTGCAGTTCCCAGGGGAGGCCCCAGAGTGAGGTGGACCAGGGAGGGTGTGTCCCGGGAGGAAGGCAGCCCCAGCTTCCAGTGGCTGCTGGAACAAAGGAGCACAAATTGGGAGGCTTGAAACAACAGAAATGTAACTGAGATACTAATTTTTACATATTTTGTTTGTTAGATAATCATAAAATTAAAAAAAAAACACAACATTTTATTAAGACTAAGGTTCTCCAAATTAAAGTTATATTAATTTTAAACAATAAAGGCTACAAACTTAAAAAAATTCATTGATATTATATAAGTTCTCTGACTAGATCTATTGTCCATAAAAAATACAGTAAGATTTATATACTGCTCCCTACACAGGAAATAACCTTAATCATATTTTTAAAGGCAATTAAGAGATACCTATTTAAAGGATAATATTCTAAAATATAGATTTTGGGATCGCCTTAACCATGCATTATTTGCCCTTAATTTTCTTACCCTAGACAGTGAAGGCCATTCGGCTGCAGACAGACACTGGCATCCCTCGTCCAATTCTGTTCTCCCACCTGTAATGTGGCGCCATCCCCTTACAAATAAATGGAAAGGCCCAGATCCTGTCCTCATCTGGGGACTAGGCTCAGCTTGTGTTTTGGACCAAGAGCAAGCAGCCCCAAGATGGTTACCAGAACGCCTGGTTAAACAGGTTAATGACTTACCTCAACCCAGGGACGGAGGCCCTCCCCCTGAGGACAAATTTTCCTCTTTTGCAGATGCAGCCAAAATCCCCTCTGGACTGGGCTTAATGGATTTTTACCCTACCTTCTTCCCTTATTAGGCCCTTTGTTGGGTTTGCTTTTAATGGTGTCCATAGGACCCTGCATTATAAACAGGCTGGTAAAATTTATTAAAGAACAGATTAATATTTTGGCCTCTAAGCCCATACAGGTCCACTATCATCTTCTGGAGATGGAAGACCGCGCTGCCAACATTTAAAAGGATGCTCTACCCTTCTCTCAGGCTTATTTCTTAAGTTTACATCCCCACAGATCTCTCTTTCTTATATAAAAGTATAAGTGACAGCTCTGACCAACCATCTTCTGCCCTTGCCATAAGGGTTCGCTCCTCCATGGGCCCCTCCGCTTGGGGGAGGACTCACCCATGGAGTGAGGACATTAGGCCATAATGACAGAGGGTGCAGGAAGGACTGCAGGAGGATGGATCCACGGATCCCAAAACCCAAGACCTCTGAGTGACACGCTCTGGTGCATGGCGGTTGGCATGCTCCCCCCTCAAAGCTGTCTCCTCCAAAAACATGCCAAGGCCACCACGAAATCTCCTAGTGAAGACGCTTGCTCGGATCAGGAGATATTCTAAGGCCTTCTAGAGGAACAGAGCCTCTATCACCCCCTAAAAACATGGCCAATAAGGTATGGTCAAATATTTTATATAAGAAAGGGGGAAGATGTCAGGGACTAGAAGGAAATTCTCCTTCAAAGATTAGCCTGACAGCCCCCTGGGAGACATCCTGCCTGGGAGGCATCCTGCAGCTACTTATCTCACCTGAGACATCCTGCGGCCACCTATCTTCCTGAAACCTATCTTCCTGAAACATCCTGCGGTTATCTCACCTTGTGCAGACATCCAGCAACTACCGATAAGAGAGCTTCCCCATCCCCAGCATATAAATACCCCTGTGTGAACAATAAAAGTTTGCAGCTTGATCAGAACTTTTGTCTTGCTGTCATCCTTCTGTGTCTCTTGTCCCTTCATTCCTCCCCATCTAGGTTCGCTGCCCATGTTGACGTGTCCTGCCGGACGGGACAATGTAAATGTACTCCTCACCACTCTGGAGGCAGGAAGTCCAAGATCAAGGCGTCAGCAGGACCGCTCCCTCTGGAGGCGGCAGGGGAGAAGCTGTTCCTAGTTCTATGTGGAGGCCCCAGGCATTCCTTGACTGGTGGCCTGGTCACTCCAGGCTCTGTATTCTCCTTAATCACTCCAGCCATAGGCCTCTGTCTTGTGTGTGTCTCCCTTGTCTCTCACGTTGGACTTAGGGCCTGCTCTGATGATCCAAGATGAATGAGGTCCTCCTCTCAGTGTCCCCAGCTGAGTCCCATCTATTGCCATGTAAGTGACCACTGCTCTTACCTACTTCCAGGCACCCAGGATGAGAACATGGACAGACTCTTGAGGGACCACTGTTCAGGACATTAAGGCATTAATCCTGCAAACGTGCAGTGACGTGGGGATCCCAAGTCCAAGTAATTTACAGGGGGCTGAGGTGGCTCTTGCTTGGGCAGGGACTTGACAAGAGATCAGGTTGAAGAGGCCATGATCACAGAAGTGGGGATGGTTGAAGCTATAATGGTGGTTGAAGGTCAACCAAAAATAAATGATACCAACAGGGCTTGATCTCCCCTCTGGACCCCAGCTTCATCTTAGCACCAACCATGTAATTCCAAGTGCCACAAAGAATTTTTAACACATTTGGTTTTTCTAAACGACTCTTGGCTGGCTGTACTTCATGGTTGCTGATCAGAGGGATATACCCACTGTTTAAATGTCTGAAGTAACCCCTGGCTGTCCTCCCCAGGACAGCCAGATCCTGCTCCTCAACACTCAGAGCCAACCTGCTATTTCTACCAAGTCCAAGGCTGATGGAGACTTCCCTTGTCCCACTAGTTGAAGTTCATATCCTCACTGCAACAGGCAGTGTGACACAGTCGCTAGGCCACATGAATTGGTCTGTTTCCCATTACTATAAGGAAATACTTGAGGCTGGAACTGTATAAATAGGTTCATGTGGCTCACAGTTCTGGAGGTGCAAGGGCATGGTGTCAGCATCAGCTCAGCTCTGGTGAGGACCTTTGGTGAATTGGCATCATGGTAGGAGGAAGTGTGAGAAGAAGATAGGAAGCCAGAGTGAGCAGGTAAAAAGTAACTCAGAACTACCTGAGTCCCAGGGGAAGTGCCCCAGGACCTCTCACCAGGCCCCACCTCTTAAAGGCCCCACCACTTAACATTACCACCCTGGGGACTAAACTTCCAACACATGAACCTTGGGGGGAAATCCCAGCCAAACCCTAGCACCATGCCCTGATCTGGAACCTCGTCCCTTCTTACTCCAAACCGTGTCACTCTGGGTAAGTAGATTACTCTCTCTGTGCCTCGGTTTCCTTATCTGTATAGATAATATCTCCATCATGGGTAAGAATCAA